ATTCGCCTGGGGACTGCATCAGGTTTCACCACTGTCACATCACCTTTATCGTAAAATGGACTTATCTCTCACCTCATGATGGGTCTCTCAAATTGGGTCACTTCTCTTGTGAGCCGAAAGGAATTCAACTACAGCGCTCTCCCTGAAGAGGTCGGCGGCCAGGGGGAAACCCAGAGACGACGCGCTCCGACGGGATGGCCTAACCGACACAAGTCCGTCATCCGGCTCACCGGAGCTGCCCTGCTCTTGGCCGTCATCGGCATCTTTGGGGTCAACTTTACGTGCGTACGGACCTATCTTGATCACCTTGTCAATCCCACTCACTTTAGCATCAGACGGACAAGCAAAAGGCATTCTTGCGATTACGTGCAGTCGGGTTTCCAATGTGACACGGCCATATCTCACTCCTGGGGCCAGTACGCGCCGTTTTTCTCGGTGCCGTCTGAGATCCCAAATGGCATCCCGAAAGGGTGTGAGGTGACCTTTGCGCAAGTTTTATCGCGTCACGGGGCTCGTGATCCCACCCAGAGCAAGAGCTTAACGTACGCGCAGCTCATAGACCGCATCCACAGTAGCACTACCGAATATGGGAAACAGTACCGCTTCATCGAGCAATACAAGTATACGCTCGGCGTAGACCAACTCACGGTATTTGGTCAGCAGCAGCTAGTTAATTCGGGCATCAAGTTCTACAAGCGGTACGAGAAACTCGCGAGGAATGTGTCCCCCTTTGTTAGAAGCGCCGGCCAGCAGCGTGTGGTTGACTCGGCCGTGAATTGGACCCAAGGTTTCCACCATGGCCGCTTGGCGGATAAGAACGCCGACTTCCCGGATGCATACCCTTACGAGATGATCATACTTCCCGAGGAAGATGGATTCAATAACACGCTCAGCCCGATGACGTGCACTGCTTTCAGAGAGGGTCCAGATACAGGGAACGAGGCCCAGTCGATCTGGGTGAACACGTTCGTGCCGCCTATTGCCGAGAGGGTTAACAAAAACCTGGCTGGAGCAAACCTATCAAATTCCGACATCATCCATCTAATGGACATATGCCCTTTTGAGACAGTTGCGAACACCGACGGCCACCTTTCCCCGTTCTGCAGATTGTTCACGCAGGATGAGTGGCACAGTTTCGACTACTACCAAACACTCGGCAAATGGTACGGTTACACCAACGGCAGTCCATTAGGCCCGACACAAGGGGTCGGCTTCGTCAATGAGCTGATTGCCAGGCTCACGGGCCAGCCCGTAGTCGACGCTACCAGCACAAATACTACGCTAGACACCTCCCGCAAGAGCTTTCCTCTCGATAGCGTGCTCTACGCGGACTTCAGCCACGACAACGACATGTCCGGCGTGTTTGGCGCGCTGGGTCTCTACAACGCCACGGAGCCCCTCTCCAATACGACCAAGGCGAGTCCGAAGAAGAGCGGGGGTTACGCGGCCAGCTGGGCTGTGCCCTTCGCGGCGAGGATGTATGTGGAGAAGATGCAATGCAAGGGCACCGAGGAGGAGTTCGTGCGGGTCCTCATGAACGACAGAGTGATCCCGTTGCAAAACTGCGACGTTGATGCGCTCGGTCGCTGCACGCTGAGCAAATACGTGGAGAGCCTGAGCTTCGCCAGACAGGGAGGGCACTGGGACCAGTGCTATCTGTGAATGACGTTGGCTACATCAGTCCCGGCGTTCGCAGGATGAGACATACGATGTAATCAACTTCCGGGTTCGGAGAGTGCGTGCATGTGATGTGGGTGGATGAGAATGGATAGAGAAAGATACCTAACCTACGGCCCTCCCTCGGAGACGATTCCGGTTTCGATAGAGCATTGTCGGTCGATCATTAGGCATACTTGGTACGTGGCGAATCGGAACAGAGGATAGACTAGATAGTCTAGAATAGAACCATTCCATTGAAAACTCACGGCCCTGGCTAGCTTTTCAGCTCACGGACGGTATCGCGCCTCCTTTCGCACCCATGCATCGTGTACATCTAAGGCGATCGTTGATCTCGCCCTTGCAGGAACGAAAGGCCTTGCCATTCTTCGGGAAACACAGGACGCTATATGGGGAAATAGAGTCACGAGGCAGATTTCGCGCCGGTCTTCCCTCTACGGGTGAGACATACACAGAGGCTTGAGCAATGCGCAGCGGTTTGCTGCCGCTGATAGGTTCGTCGGGTGAGACATTGGGAGGGGACGTTGGGGCTTGGGTTCGTTTCCATATCTGCATTGCATGGATACATGCGATAATTGAAATCGTGCACGGGCCACACTACCTACCGCTCTGCACCTTTTTCAAACTGGCAATTCCCTTTAGGTAACTGCTGGCTCAGCGCTAGTTACAGTAGGCAGGTGCCTAGTATACATTAGGACAAAGGGCTATGGACATTTGGAGCCAATGAAAACAACGCATTTAAAGATACTTCTGTTGGCACCGAATTTCGCCCGTGCAAACTGTTCTCATGAAAACGATTAGTAATACCTACGTAAATTTCAATGTTCTACATAAAGCCCTAAACAAGGCTGGAACTGGTGTCCTTGTGTGGCGTTAATTGTGCCAGCAGGGCTACAGATCGGATTCCAGGGTTTACGGTATATTTCGCGGTGTAAGTAACTTGTATAGTCCGCTGCACGTCAGTCGGACAGCAGTGGGGCAGGTGTCGTGCATTGGTGCCCGGTAGAGAGGTACCACCTAAGGTAGGTATGCTAAATTTAGCGGCGTGCCCCCCTGTAATTCCCTACGCTCGCTGTTTGATGGTGATTTGTCTTGTCCGGTAGAACCGTGGACAGGCGTTCGGAATCGGGCAATAAGCTTACCGGACTCTACCTGTGTACCGACTGTACGCATGAACAAACAGACGAACATGACCTCGAGCCGACAACACACCTGACCGACTGACGTCTCCATCACCACCAACCCACCCCTCGCCTGCCGTCGTACCATACCATCGGCACCGACGCGCCCCTTGGCCCACGCTTGGGTACCTAGTGAATGACCGAGTGAGTGAGTGGTTGGCGCCCTCTCCACCCACACTGCCTGCTCCTCGAAATACCGCGCGTTCACGAGCTCGTCTCGCCATCCTGCTCCGAAGATGGTCAGCGCCGTAGGCACGTTTTTCATCGTCCTGGCCGTCCTGCTGGTTGTCGCGGCCGTCGGTTGGATCGTCTTCACCCAGCTGCGCGCGCGACGTCTTGGGGTACGTCTCCTCTGCTGTTCTATCTCGCGCATGCGCATTAGCATCATGCTTGTCTCACGATGCCGGACATCACCGCATCTGTCCCCCCCCCCCCCTTTTCTGTTCCCTCTCCCGTCTCCTTTGGTCCTCTTAGCTATCGTCAATCTGCCTTGCTTACCCTTAACCCCGGCGCTTCCACCATCCACGCGGTCTCGCCACATCGATAGATCGATCTAACATCTGAATCTACAGCTCCCCTCCCCGCCCCTATCCTCGTACATTCCCTTTGCCGGCTCCTCGCACCAGTCGTCCTACGGAGCACAGCCCAGGGCCGGCGGCGTTCGCGGCTGGATAAGCGACCGGTTCCAGTCGCTCAAGAACCCGCGCTCGGCAGCTGGCGCATACGAGCCCAGCGCCGCCGGCGGCCGCCGCGGCTTCGGACCCCTCGACCCTGACGATGCCTGGGACGCGCGCGTCGGTCACGAGACCTACGGCGTCGGCGCCCCGTACTACCCAGACGACCAGGAGCTGGAAGACCGAGGACACCATGGTGGTCGTGGGGCCCCGTATTCGGGGTCTGATTACCAAATGAATCTCGCGGGCGACGGCGCGGACGAGAACAGAGGGCGAAGCCCTAACCCCCGCCTCGATGTACCTGCTAGCAAACCCGCGGCGGGAGAAGGGGCCCACCATAGCAATCCGTTTGATGATACTGCTGCCGAACCGAGCAATCTGAGCATGAGAGGCGTTAGTCCGCGACCCATCGATACGCGCAAGGCTGCTGCTGCTACTCCAAGCGCCCCGCCGCATGATAGTCCCACGTCAGTCGCGGAGCGGAGGTCTATCTTCAGAGAGGACATATAATTCTACGGATTGTCGGATACGCTTTCGCCGCGCCGTAAAAGCGCTTGCGACCTTGAGTACGAGACCCGCCCAGCGAGCTCGGACTTCGGCGTCATTCGTCCTAACACCCTCTGCGGTACAAGACGTAGCCGACATTTCACCATCCATCACACGAATCACACCAGATCACCCAAGGAGGAGGGCCGTGTTTTTGTTATGCGCAGGTCAAACGGAGGCAGGAAAATGACCATCTTTTTTTTTTCTTCTTCTCTTTCCCTTTGGTTGTCTCTCCTCTTGTAACGAGATAGGGTAGGTACTCTGGGCAACGGGCAGGTTGGCAGTGCAGAGGGGACGGCGTTAGGGGCGTCTGGTACATGCATTTCGTCACCCTACCTACCTACTTAGGTACCTATGGAATAAGACGGGGGCAGGTGGTGGTCTCTGCGGGTTTTTAAAAAGAAATCAGGCGTACTATTTGAATATCACTACTGTTGAGTTTTGTCTCTCTTCGCTTGTTCTCTTTTGTAGACTAATGCTATATCCAATGAGCGTGTATTATGTTCTCTTGGGTGTTGGTTGCGGAGCTTTTTTATCTTGAATGCTATACCGGTATCTATGGCTTTTCTCCTGAGGTTTTGTTTATAGTACGAAATTACGGCCGCCTTGGTAGATTAAGAAAGTAACTCCAAGGATGCGCTCGTTTCTTCGGATGCTTCTATTTCCCTGTCTCTATTTTCATTCTTATCAAGGAGCTTGCATTAATATGTGATCGCACAGGAAGCTTTGGAAATAAGAAATGCCGCTAGTCTGCTTTAGGTTTAGCTAAGAGTGTTTAATCAGCGTAGATTAGATAAGCTAAGCTACTTTTTGAACTATAGTCTACAGTCGTGTAGTTGCATAATACGACGGGGAAAAAATTGGGGGTGACAACATGAAAAATAATTTGCAATGCTAGATACTCAACATTGTATATTCTGCTCGACCTCGGCCGGATTCGAACCGACAATCTTCAGAGGATAAGCTCTCGTGTTTCTCTATCACGATGAACCGAAATCTGACGCCATGCCATTAGGCCACGAGGCCACTACCGCTAGCTAGCGGTGGTGGATGGAGGGTGCTGCCTCTATCGTCGGTTTGAATCATCGGGTTTCTCCGTCATCTAGGGTTTAGTGTGTTGTCAACAAAATCCTGCTTGTGATTTATTGCAATGAGGCGGTTTGTTATTTGAGGGAGATGACGTTTGTGGACAATATGTTTTGCGGAGTGTGTGTCCGCATGCGCGCGACGCGGTTGGCTGTGTTATGGCGGCGAAGCGGAATAAGTGAAAGGCTCCCAATGGCTTGGAATGATATTGAGATTTCAATAATCGTTTAGGAGACAAGGGACTATTAAGGTCTTGTCCCCTATTCTGCTCAATGGGAGGTCTATATAGTAGTATGATCTATGTGCTCCGAATAGCTTCGCCTCTAGTTATCGATCTCACTTCTCCGTGCCTTCCTGGCTTTTATGCAGTTGCTTTAGATAGCAGGTAATATCTAGGTAAACTTTGGACCTGAGGTCTCGTATATAATCTCACATTTGTATAACTTAACTATGCATAATAAAAACCGTGTAGTGCTAAGCTAGTTCTCCCTAAAATAGAAAGCTTTGCCGGCGAAGCTCCCATTTTAAATACGCTGTAAATCAAAGTACAAGGCACTTTGATTTAAATTTTTATAGCTAACTCGATAACCTGCATAAAGCGATATGCTGTTATAAAGTAAATAGATAGGCTCTAAACTAAAGGCTGCAGATACTTTTAGAGTTTAAGGAGGTTCCGGATATGAATTTCCCAAGCTCCGCCTTCCCTCGCACTTAATTATCATTGCCAATACGTGCTCGGGAAAGCAAAGCTTTCCAATTATGCAAGTGGTATGGTCTTACCCGTAAAGCGTGTAACTATAAGTTAGGTAGCTGCGGACGTTAAGACGCTCTCCCTCGTAACGTCCGGCTTTTTCGGAGTGTACCGGTATATTGATGTAGCTCTATTCCGTGGTGGTAGGTCTTAGTCTTGAGTGTATTAGATGTAGGTTGCACCTATTCGTATTTTGTACTTGTAGCAGACAATTTCTGAGTTTGAGAGGATCTAGCTACAAATGTCCAAAACTCCATCTTTGACTTAGCGTAAAAGAAAGCGCGAATCATAGCCTTAAGCCACCTTATATTATATCTTACATTATCATATTATAGGTTGTTCCCATCGTTATAGCTGGTAATATCAGGTCGTTATGATTTTGAAGCTTATTAATCACTAAAGCAACCACAAGGTATTAAAACTTTAGTCAACAAGATTAATTAGGGGCTGAGATACCATCCTCCTTTCAACATATAATTCCTGTTGATTGTACCAGTATAAGTAATGCCACACATAGTTATCCCAATAACTGCATGCGCATGTGGGGCACCCCAACCGGACCTATAAGCTTCATTCAATAAGACTATTTAGATAATGCACTTCGTCAGCTGAATCATGGTGACATGCACACAGCCTCGTCAGGCATAAATGTGCAGATTATGCGTGCCCTCTGATCGCCTCTACAGTGTATGATATATGGTATGAATGCTTTTACATCCACGCAAGTGAGCTTATCCCATCTATCCGTGCTGGTCTTCTCTAGCACTGAGTTCACATAATTACCTAGGTAGCTATGGACACCAACAGTTTACTCTGCAATACGCCGCCAGCTACTGGCAGTAAGCGACCATCCCCTTCGCCTGTTACCCAGGACAGTGAAGGGAAGAGGGCCCGACTGCTATCCTATGAGGAAGCTTTACCAGGCAAAACTTTGGACCATGAATTGCCTCTGGCTACCAATGAGTTCCGTGAATTTTCACAAAACCTTCATGAAACTGAGACTCGGGACATTTTTGGTAATAAAGTCAACGATAATTTTTATAATGGAGATTCGAATGCGTCACTAACTTTATTACCAGATAGAGATCAAGTGTTGCCAAGTATACTCTACTCGCCTTCGGATCGGGATAATATCTCTTTGGGAGACAACTACTTCTGCGAAGATCAGGTTAAACCTAGACAGTTTATGGACTTCTGTGGCGTGGATGACTTACTGAAGGATGACTCCGATGAGCACGTCGCCGGGAATAATGGTGTTCTCTATGGAACCAATGCTTCGCAGCACGGCCATTCTGTCACCATTAGATCTCAAGCTAGTGAGGCAACGACGATGACTTCTAGTGCGCTAGCCATAGAAGAATCTATCAATATTTGCATCGATTACGATACTTGTTTTGGCGTTGTAAGTAACACATACCCAAAACATTGAAGACTTTCTCATAAATCATAGATAATAGCAACACCTACTTCGTCTTTTGGGGGAGACTTTGGGGCTGGTTCTTTGCCTGTCAAACTAAAACCTTTGGGTGGTACTTTTCTACTCTATGGTCAAGATTCTGGTGCATACCTTGGCAGCCTTAATAACTCTAGGCTTGTTAGTGCTCTTTCTCGGCTCGCTCTCAGACTAGATGCTACGCTCTTCGCCTCGGAGATCAAGGACACAGGAGGGAAAAAAAAGAAAGCTCAGATGAAGAAGCATAGCGCCAGAGAAGCGGCTTGGAAATACAGTATTCGCATTGTCTTACACGGCATGCAGTATGATAAGGAGACTACGGGTAGCCTTCTCGCAGATTCTGGTATCTTTCTACAACATCCATCCATCGCCGAAATTATACCTGAAGTGCGGTATGATAATCCGCATTACCTTGTTCGACCTGGCGCAGAAATGCCGGATCTTGAGCAATTACACCTAGACGATACAACCAGCAGTACAGAGACCGAGTTGGTGATGGAAACACGCAAGGGTCGCTTTATACAAATTCTCGAAACGGCGAAAGCTGACGGTGAATCGGTAACCTCCATAAACGTTACTCCAAGTCCACGGCTTCGCTCCCCACTTATGAGGTATGGTGCATACTTAAATGTCAACCTTAGAATAGCTAATATTTCGTGATAGGCATCAAGTTTTGGCGTTGGCTATGATGCTAGAAAAAGAAAGCGGCTTTGTTGAAGAGCCAACATTCCCATCGCTTTGGAGAAAAGAGTTTTCCCAGAACAGCAAATCTGTAAAGTAAGTAGCATCAAATGTCAATACTGCTAGCGTAATTAGATTCCTCATCTCTATGTGTAGTTATCGTCATACAATCACAAGATCACTTGAGCCCAAACCGGTCCCAGCTTTAGGCGGAATACTTGCTGATGTAAGTCATACCAAAATCTGCATTCACTTGGTCCACTAACAAGATGTATTTAGGATATGGGCCTTGGGAAAACTCTAAGCATGCTGTCGCTGATTTGCACTTCTTTGGACTTAGATTCTAGAACGAAGGATCAAGATCGGGGCGTGAGACAGCAGGGAACGCTCATCATTGCACCTACTTCTGGTAAGCTCGATGTTGAAATGTATGACGCATAAGAGCCACTAACATACCACAGCCATAAACGGCTGGATGGCGCAAGTATCGGAGTAAGCATCATTTGAAACGGCATGCATGAATATTAATGCTAAGCTTAACTTAACCTGGTGAAATTTAGACACATTCACAAAGGGACAACACGCATAGTGGTATATCATGGACCCGATCGAAAAAGCCTGGCTAATCACTTCGGAGACTTCGACATCATAATTACAACCTATAAGATTCTTCTGATGGAACCAAGAACTGGAAATGAGGGAGGTCCTCTCTTTTCCTGGAATTGGCTTCGAGTTGTTTTAGATGAAGGTAAGTAAAGATGAGTCCGTTGCGCGGCTGTTTACACTGTACTGAATTTTTTGTAGCTCATCACATTCGTAATCGTTCGAGTGAGACTTTTCAGTCTGTTTGTGCTCTCAAGTCTCGATATCGATGGTGCCTGACGGGAACACCAATCCACAACTGTCTTGACGATTACGGGGCGTTGCTCAGTTTCATTCGTGTTTTTCCATTCATACAAAAGTCCAACTTTATGTCTTGGATTGTTAAACCCGTAGAGGAAAAGCACTCAATGGCAATTGAACGCCTGCAAGAACTTATTCGAGCAACATGCCTTAGGAGGATGAAAGAGCAAGCCTTGTCCTCGGAAGAGATAACACTTCCGCAGCGTTCTGAAATGGTACATGAAGTTCATCTCCATCAAGATGATCAAAATTTGTATGATGCCATTAAGACGCTTTGCGTGACAAGAGCCGCAGGCCTACAAGCATGGCCCAAAGAGGGGCAGTCCACCAGAAGCAAGGACAAAAATATTCTGCTCCTTATTAATTCAATGCGTCTCGTCTGCAATCATGGTAAGGCACTCCTGCCTCAGGCGGTAATACCTCTACTAGAAAAAAGCTTGGTTGCGTCATTCGATTCCTCAACGAAGCAAATACACTTCGACGACTTCTCTGCTTATGAGAGGGGAAATGAGAACAACGACTTTGGCACGGACGATCAAACACCCATATCCGTCCAATACACCACCTCCAGAGAATCCTCACAAGAAATAGAGATGGAAATAGATGTCCTAGGTGGAGAAGATGTATCGGCCTATCGCCCCTCTGCTAAGGTGCTAGCAATATTACAGAACTTGGAACGGGAACGAGCAGCAGTACAATATAACCAGACACCAAGAAAAAGGTACGTATGAGCACCCTCAATGCCGGAGAAGATGACGCACTACTAATTAAAGTTCAGTGTGGTCTTTAGTTATTGGGTTAAAATGCTTGATCTAGTCGCGCAAGCATTACGCAGGGAGCACATCGTTTTCCAACGCATAGATGGTAAAACAAGTTTGAAAGGACGACAAGCAGCCATGCAAGAATTCAATGACAACCTTAATTGCACGGTATTGCTAGCTAGTACCGGCAGTTCTGCAGAAGGGTACGCTCTTGTGATTCACCGGAGATGCTTTAGCTAACTAAATTTGGCGAAGGGTTAACCTTACAGCTGCTGGCATAGTCCACCTGCTAGAGCCTCATTGGAACCCGATGGTGGAAGCACAAGCCGTAGATCGAGTCTATCGCATAGGACAAAAGCAAGAAGTCACAGTCATCCGATATATCGTTCCT